CGTGACAAAAAACACCCCCCCCCCCCCCCCCCCCCGAAGGGAGAAAGGTCAATCCCTAACGTCCAAAATGATACCGAAGCGGAAGGCATTTCCACTTTCTAAAGTAAAACTGAGGGTGGCATCTATGATTGCTTCATACATTCAGTCACGTTTCGCCCCTGGTGGATTTGCGCCCTATGCGGGGGCACATGTGGCACATGCTTAAGGTCGGTCCTGTCGGTCAGAAAACGCAAAATCGAGAGAACTTAGGTACATTTCCTTCTCTTTTTTACTTTCCTGCCTTACAGGCAGAAGTCAGAAGCATAGTGCCCATGAAATACTTGCGTTTGACTTACTTAGAAAAAGTGACTTGTAATTAGCTCACACTTCGCCTGACCACATTGGAATGAGGGAATTCCCTCTTTATGACAGTCACCTATATGTCTTTATGCCATTTCAACTTAATTCTGAGAGGTTACGGCTGCCCTACAATGTGCTCAAGATCCTTACCTTCGTGACGAAGGTAAGGATCTTGAGCATTGTACACGAGAATAATGGAAGCAAAAAATAAATTCCGTTTGTTACGGGATTTTGCGCAACTCATTAAATACTGAAATGCCTGAAGGGCTGAAGGTAGCATTCTACTTTCTGATTCTCGGCTTTTCATTTTCCGCCTGGATCCGAGGACTCTTTCGCCATTGAACCCCTGTTCGTCTCGTCCGCGAGCCTCGACTCGAAACACTCTCAAAGCAACACGCAACGTTGCTCCAATGTGACTTGAGCTACATGACGTTGCGGTAACGTCACATAGACGTCATTTAGATGCATGAGTTGCTTGGGTCAAGGCGGCATGTTTCGAAGACTCGAGAGGAATCTCATTGCAAGGATGGCCTCACTCGTGCTCGCACGGGATGTGGAGGGTCCCCGCACTTTAACGCCGATTCTTTCCTGTCGGATCATTCCGTGTGGCTAGGGTTTTACTCGCACACAGAAGCGAAGCGGGAAAGCACTCCACTCGGATCCGCGTCGGTATGCGTCGGTATTCGAGGAAATGACGAGAAAATCGTCATCTCTGAGTTTGCCACGTTTTAGATGCGACGGAATCGACTGGCGGGAGCATGTGGTACTAATATCAAATGCAATTTCAGGATCATCTCGATCGATCAAGGTATGTCCTTGTGAAAATAATGGAAAGAAAGACGAGAAGAAGAGAATAAAGACATGGTATTACAAGAAGAAAGGAAAAATTCATTTCCCCTCCTCCACGCGTTCGCGACACGTGGAAGTATTCTTTTCCTTCGTGTACCCTAAAGCTCGTCTTGGTAAATAGAGAACAGCATTAGACAGGAAGCAAAAAAAAAATTGATTTTCCTTCTTTCTGTCTTCGTGATTGCCTGATGCCAAAAAAACGTTTCATTGAGGTATGTACGTTTCCGCTCACGCATCGGGGCCGTGCGGGAGGGCAGTCACGTGGTTTATCATCTTGAGCCGCATCAAGAGAGGGATGTAGACCAGGGGCTCCATCAAAGTTCTGTGAAATTGTTTAAATACCCCACGATTGGTCGTTAAAAAAGTTTTTAATAGCTCAGTAGTCCAAGCAGAAAGTAAGAAAAACACGTGAATAGCCTCCTTGTGAATCTGTCATCAAGTTGTTCCCATTTGCTGATAAGCTTTTCTAGTGTCAAAGGCAGACTTTGATGCATTAAGGAATGAAAAAATGTAGCGAATTCATGTTCTTGAATATGAGTCGATGTTACCATCACGTCTTGAAATTGATATGCCTGCCCTCAAAGTGAGATTTCAACTTCAATCTCTTGAAGTGTTTTATCTTTGCGTTTCTGTGATAAGAGAACGAGGCAAAGGTGGTGTCCAGGTAATAATCGCTTCACGAGGATGCCACTCTCCGAGAATCCCTCCCGTACAGGTGCCTTTTCCAATGCTTCACATTTTTATCAGGTGACTCAGTCCACAGATGATTTATGCCTTCTCAGGCGACTGTCACATCACGAAGCGCTTTTGTACTAAGTGTTCTTGCCTTGCGGTTTGAGGGCGCGATCCCACACTATTCTTTATTTCCCGCGTTTTTATGTTTTTTTTTTCACTGCATTCCTGAACTATGCAGTATACGGTCACAGCATATGCTGAATTTTTTATTTGACGTGTGGCGTTTTTCGTGATCACGATTTGTCTTGGGGGATGTTTCAGGGTGGCTTGCCTACCGAACTTGCAGGGGGAAAGCCTAACACAGGAGATATGCGAAGCAGCACTCTGTTGCTGGAGATCCAACATGGACGACCTTCTGGCTCCCCTATGCTTCCATTCCTACCCCAGCGCCTACAGTTTCTTCCACGAAAGAAAGAAGAAACGAGAAACTTTGGCGACCTGGAAGCTGGAGAGCAACATGAGGAAGACTCCGTTCGGGGGAAGAACCTTGACGTCCGTGTTCTTCTCCTACAGCTCCAATGAGGACCAGGCCGTCCTCACCTTCACCAACGTGAGAGACGTGGTCGGACCGATTCGATCTTCGTCTCGGGCCTCAGGCCTCGAACTTAGAGTGGTAGATAGCGAATTGTTCTTCATTCAACTGATCCGAACGAGTAATAAAACGATCCTCTTGGACACGTCGTCAGGTGGCCTGATGTTCGGAAAAAATTACTCCGAGGTCACGATCCGACCTCCGACGAGTTTCATCTACGGCTTACCCGGCGACCACATTAAATTGAAGCACGATTTCCAGTGGACTCGTCAAACCATATCTAACCGCCGGGAAATAAACGCAGGAGGAGCCTCCCTTCACGCTCCCTTCTACATGGGCCTTGAAGAAGGCGGAAATGCTCATGGCGTCCTCATCGACACCGAAGACACGATCGAGGTCAGCTTTCAACCTCTGCCCTCCATCACGTTTCGGATCTTGAGCTCAGATATGGATCCTCTCTTGAGGATTCGCGTGTTCCCGGGACCCACGCCTCGGGACGTGCTTCGACAACTGACCGACTACATCGGGAAACCCAAGATGCCACCGTATTGGGCCTTGGGTTATCACACGTGTCGAGCTGCGCCCAACATCTCCGTCTTCCAGGATGTCTTGAATCTGACCCGAATTCGTGAGATACCGTTCGATGGGGACTGCATCTCCTCGTCGATCCAAGTCCCCGGAGCCTTCACATTCGAAGACCTCGAGGAATGGTCTGAACTCGACGAAGAAGTCCAGGCCCTTCACGATGCCGGCTACAAATTCTTCATGCCATTTTCCCCTCACGTGGCTTACGAATCCTCGCCCGAATTGAGTCCGGAACAACTCCTCCCTTTTCAGTCGGGGAAAAATGAAAGTATATTCGTGACGTATTATAACGAGAGTCTGGAATGGATCGGGGAGTATGACGACGTGCTCGTCGTTTACCCAGACCCCAGCAATCCCAACATGGGATCTTGGATGAATTCCAGTCTGCAACGGTTTATGGAGAATTTGAACCTGACCTGGAAATCCGTGGATGGAGCATTGCTGAAGGATGTGAGCCCGAGAAGCGACAATACGTCATTGTATCCTTGGGAATCGTTAGAGAATGACAACTTGCAGTATCTGCCGCCCAGAGATATGAGCAAGAATGATCCCTTGTTTTCAAATACCATCTGGTGGGGCGCGCTGCACAGCACTGGCGTTTGGCATTGGGAGTATCACAATCGATACGCCGACGAGTTTTCTTCCACGTTCCGAGATGCGGTAGGGCCGCCGGAGCTTCTTATCGCGGATTCCATGAGCATCATAGCAGGGAAAAATGAGAAGAGAGCCGACGGATGGCTAGCCTCAGGGTACCGAGGGGACTGGTGGGCCATGAAGAAGAGCCTCATCACTATCATGGAAGCCGGACTGGTGGGGATTCCGTTCGCCGGTGTCCCCGTCTGCGGCGACCTCGAGACAGAATATCTCGACCAGGTCAACACCTTAGGCGATCTCTGCACTCGCTGGAATCAACTGGCAACGTTCTACCCTTTGGCCGTGAATCACTACGGCCGAGACTCGACTCCTCGACACCCGACCGACTTTTCCGCATCAGTTACCGACCGGATTCGAATCGCGTTGAGGCAACGGTACCGGTTCCTCCCTTACCTGTATTCTCGGTTCGTGGAGGCTTCAGAGACTGGTTTACCAGTGGTCAGACCCTTTTTCCTGGAATACCCCGAGGATTCCCAGTCCAGAGACGTGGACGAGCAATTTCTGATCGGGTCGGCCCTGATGATGGTGCCATCCCTGGACTCCAAGCGGGTCGTGGTCTCTACTTATTTTCCCCCTGGCCGCTGGATGGATTTCTACAGCGGAGTGGTGCTGACAGAGACAGGAAGGACTAATATATCCATCCCCGTCGCAGGCTTCCAGTTCCAGGTCGCTGTCAAGGCAGGCCACATCATCCCCTATCAGGTTTGCCCTTGCCAGACTACACTTTATGATGGAAAAACGAATTCAACTAGAGATGTGTTTATTATTATTATTATTATTTTTTTAAGCTGGATAGCCACAGTTACAATCCAGAATTTGCCCTTCTTCCTCTCAAGAGAGGAAGAAGGGCAAATTCGATTATGATTGCCGGTACCATTTATCCGAGATCGTTCTGCATTTTCCTAGAAGAATCTCGTTCTGCCTCAGCCCCTAAAATACTTCATCGCCAGGCCTTCAGTTCTTATCCTTAAAACATCACGTGGGGGGATGAGCTCAAGATGCGCTCGGTGTTCCGGGGGAAGATAATATCCGGTGAGATATGAGCGGGGGCGATGAGGTAATTTCAAAGCAGGTGCGCATCCATCCACTCATCCACTTATGAACTTTAGAGCCTCCTTTTAACGCTCAGCCTTTCATTCCCACTTTAACACGTACCGTGGCTTTACTGCTAAACCTTTTCAAGCGCAACTCTGATGCTGCTCGCATTCGGCTCCAGAACAACCTCCATGGCAAATTTTATCGGATGAGTGCCATAATTTTCGAGATTTTACGGAAAACAGAAGAGAAATCCCTATCAAGAAAACCAACGTCATTATTGATTTTGATCTGATGAATCAGCATTTTAAAACGAAACTTTTATTTCCCAGGTTGCCTTTCTAAACGCCATCTCACCCTAACCTGTGCCTAACGTGAACGTTAAATACCCAACTGAACGCGAACTGAAGACTGCATGACCCACCTGGAACATTTTGTCCCCACTCACGGGGATACTTTGAGTCGAGAATCGGGGAGAAACAAATTTAAACATGTACTTCTCTGCTTCTCTCCCTCCTCGAGTGTCCCAATGGCGATGGGGATCATCTCGCGGATTTTACACGTAATTAAATTTGGCATGCAACATGCCCTTACCGAGAACTGAACATCTGCCAATTTGTTGTGCTGGCACTTTCGGTTTCTGCTAATGGGAGTCGTAAAGTTTCCACCTCTGTGGGGTGCCATCGTACCCTTTCAAGCATATAATGCTTGATATCTCAGGTGCTATTTTAATAACTCTAACTTTCATTAGCTCATCTCTTGAAGAGATGAGCTTATCATAATCGGTCACGCTTCTTTCAGGAACAAGGAAGTCATCTTTTGATAGAAGTCAATAACTCTTTACCCTGCTTTGCTACAAAACCTCATTTATTTATTTTTTAAATTTTCATAAATGAGGTATAACTATTATTCGACCAATTCAGAAAACTTCACCATTGAATGCGTCGTACTGCCTGAATAATGGGGTTTCAGTAAATGAAGGTTAAAAAAATCTACAGTACTGCACATTTGCCAAGTAACCATTAAGTGCAGATGTTATACAGACTGCTTTGAAATTCTCCACTATTAAAGTTCTCATTCAAAGTACTAATACACTTCAATGTTTTGTAGGTTATCAACATCTGAAAATGCAGCTATGATATAAACTAGTGACGTCAGTCTATCATGACTCTTGTCATGAAGTTCCACACACACACAACTTTTTCCAACACTGGGACACTACCCTTACAAAACATCCACCTTCCATGTGGATTTGGAACCAGGTGGATGTCCCCCTGGGCTGTATTTCCACCTGTTGGAGCGATGACCACCAGGGGGAAAATCCACCTGGCTCGAAATACACGTGCGCGAATGGCTAGGTGGATTTCCACCAGGGGGGGACGACGTCCACCTGGTTCCAAATCCACCCCCTATCCACCTGGTTGTTTGACCAGGTGGATAAGGGGAGGACGTTTTGTAAGGGTAGAGACTGAATGACCCATTTCTCCCCTCAAACCTAGGTTGAGCAAAAGTATGTTTTTGTTAGATCTACTACCATGCCAAATTTCGTGACTCGAGTAGTCCTACTCGTAGTTTTGGAGAATTTCAGGGAGATACATTTATCCAAATGAATGAAAGGAATGTTCTCGTTCTCGTTTATACTTCATCTAGAAAGGAACTTTCAACGGCCATTCCGTTCTGTCATCCTCGCGAGTCATCGTCAAGAGCGTCCGCGTGCCATATCCATTGCGCGTTGAAGGTTCCTCACTTCAAAAGGCTCTCGGCTGAAAGACCATAACCGTTTCTTGGACCTGCACGATGGAATCGTGTCCCATGTAAACGTCTCAGCGTCGAATCCACGGCCAAAAAGTTTGGAGGAAAAGAAGCATCGCTCTCAGCGTTGAAGTATTCTCTGAGCAATAGTCATACCGTATTCAATCTATGCCAGCCGCGACATAACAATGCTGCTGTTTTTCGCAGGACTTCAGGCCCATACTCTTTTCCACCGTCATGTTACACACCTACATAAATCCGCCTTGGCGAAAAAATTCGCGGATGCAGCAGATCTCAAGGCAAGGATGAGGTGTATTCTACTTGGTGAAAGTCCCCAAAACAAGACGGCCCAAACGTGCCAAAATCATTTAGGGGAGATGAAGAGGTCTTTAAGCTAAAGAGCTCAAAGGAGCCTTTTAGCCAAAGAGCTCCTTCTTCCCCCCCCCCCCCCCATAAGAGTCTATGTATTCTTAAAGGACCGCTGACTAAAGGAGGGTTCAGCATTCGGGCTTAAATCAATTCACAAAAAAATGTTCTGACGCTCGCGTGATTCTCCGAGTGGTTTGTGTACGTCCTCAGGTTATATACTCATCGCCAAAAAAGAACGATCAAGGAGTCGAGAGATCTTGGTAAAATTTGTTACACAAACTCGTAATCATTTAACACGAAATCGATTAGAGTTTCAAGGGTGTGGGATGAATACTCCGGGAGAAAACTTGCCAAACACTCCTATTTCAAAAGCGGCCATAGGATTATGATAAACACCAGAAACGGTCACCTAGAAGGTTTTTGCTGGCGAAACGTGTCAGGAAAACTCATAACGATGTGCAGAAAAATCGAGAGAAAATGTAAAAGTTTGAAGGTCTTGAGGATGAAGCAGTGCAGAGAAATCTAGCCTAATGCCGAGAAATTGGGGGAGTAGACGGTACCATTGAAGGCGCCAGTTTCCTTTTCTCTGCACATCAAGCTGCTTCTCTATAGGCCCGTTGTTTAGAGTCTGACTGCGAGGCGGTTTATCGATGGCAAGCATCGATGTATGCTAATTGGAATGCATCCATCGAGTTCATGCATGGTGAGCAATCAAATCCCAAGAATTAACAAACTCAGCAAGCGAAGAAAAAACACTATGTAGGGCAAATCTGTGAATTCCGCAACGACTTGGATCCCAATTATTTGTTCCCTTGTTTCACCGGAGCTGACGGCGTCTGTGTGCACAGGATCATGTTGTATTTTACCTTCGATGAAACTCGAGGAAGAGACGAATCGGATGACTCGAAGCACGGAAGGATTTCTCTCATTAGAATTTCCAGGGCTAGATTTTGTCGCTATCATCCTTCCCGATGAGCATTCGACTAATTCCGCACCACATCTGCTAAAGCCGCAACGCTATTCTGAGAATTCCGCAACCCTTACTTCTTCCATACCCCCTCGCCCTTCAAGGGTAAAGTTATTAGTTTTTTCAGGCCCTTAACTTTGGCAATGATGGATAATAGTTCTTCCCATGTTCAGATTTACCGGGAGTTCAGGTATAAAGTACAAAAAATCCCAACCTAACGAAGCGAAAAAGGCCGTCTCCGAGATTCCCCATGACAAATAAAGGGCGTCTTTTGTCTTTTCTCTTGTTTATTTTTTCGGCGATGGAAAGCGGGGGCCTCAAGGCGTCTTTAAAAGGGAAAGGACCTCTTGCGTATGCCATAAATTATCCTGGTGATATTATTTTATTTCAAGGCAATGAAATTATCGTACTCTTGATTTCCAATGTTGAAACATAAGTTGCCAACCCTCCTCTAATATCATTTATGGTTGTTAGTGGCACTCTATACATTTTGGAGTCCCACGTTAGCAATTAGCGCCGCCAAGTCCTGCCAGACTTTGTGACACTAATTGCCGCATCTTGATCTTCCTGCAAATACTTTATTCCTTGTCCTATCCTTCTTGCCGATTGTTATTGGCTATTTCCTTCGTCCTCTGGCTCTTGCTGCGTTTTTGGCTCTACCTCTGGAGTTTCCCATTTCTTAGCAAATAACATTATCCCAACTTATTATATATATGAATTGAAAGCCGGATGCGCCCTGCATGAGCACGACAGAAGACTGAGCGATGAGAGTGCGAAATTCAAAGCCTTGCCCTCAAGAGAAAATACAGGAAATTTCCCAGCAAGAAGTTACGGAATTCACCGATGGTTCATTTTCCGATCGGGCAGTTCCGCAACGCCTGCACTGCCGATACTTAAGGAGTTATGCATGTCGATCACTTCTTACTCGGTCCTAAAACTATCAAAGGACTGAATGGAGGTGCAATCTACATTGCCATATGCCCTAAAACATATTTATTGATAACGTTCGACTCGTGTCAAACCATCGGACTCTCGCTATGGAGCACGGTATTCAGCGAGGAGGAGCGCCTTGCTTCCGTTGTCCACACGCCATTATTTACCAGGTTGAGTTGAAAGAGCTGTGATCGCAGTGACGTCACAGTACATATGTCACTTTCCATTAAACTACTGTAGATAGGATATTGATTAAGGTTCTTATAGGAAAATGATACAGCGGAAAAATGACATGTACAGAATTACCCTCCAGTTTTACAAGCGTTGCGGAATTTCCCGATTTGCCCTATACACACTCAATTTCTAGGACTAACACTAGGGACACTGAGAAACTTGGCTCTGAATACGAGACTCCAAGCAGCTTTTGACATTCGGTCTTCCTGTACCATGTAAAATACACTGGGCTTATTCTCCGAGTGACTTTGCCCGATTTTTTCCCCTTTTCTTCCTTGCACTCGACAAGTCCTGTCGATACGAAACGTTCAAGTTCTCGTGGTTATCGTCCCCGATGTAGGATGTGAAGAATAACTCGGCGGAGTCTCGACTGACCAACTTCACTCTGACGGTGGCGCTCGACAAGAACGGGAGTGCCAAGGGGGATCTTTATTTCGGTTCCCCGAGCAACTTCAGTCGCCTCCTCTTCGAAGCTCGAACCAAATTCGTCATGAACGGCACCGACGACTCCCTCTTCAACGCCACCGGCATCTCCCCGGTCACCGTCACGGAGCTGGTGTTCGAACTAGAAATGGGTCGAGCGAAGTGCCAAGGGGACGAAGGCACCTACATCTTCACGGTCATCAACAGGGTGAGGGTGTTCGGGTTCGGTCGGAAAAACTCTGCGATTGCATACATCGACTGCGGGGGCTGGCTAGAGAAGCTCGAAACCAATTTCCAGCTCGGCATTCTCGACATCTTCAACGTCAATATCGACTTCTGTGAACTCTCCAAAGAGGCTTGTTCCCTTCGCTTGTATATTCAGTGAATATATACGTCATATAATTCCGTCTTTCCTCCACGTGATAATAATAATGTATGATTCTTTCAATTCCGGCCTTGAGAAATATTTAATCGAGACCATCCTTTTCCGATAAAGTCGTCCCTCTACCGAGGCATTTTCAAGATGATATAGTTCTTCCTTTTCCTCTGAATTGTTCCATTTCACATGCCACCATGATGACAAATGATCAATCTAAATGATCGTCGATTCGATCGAAAACCATCTTCATCGAGCTTGCACTCATCGAGCTTGCTCAATGCAGAATAGGATGAGAGAAATGAAACGTAAAGAGAATATTAGATATGAAGCAGGCCCAGGAATTAAGTATTTGGGTTTCTTTGGAGAGAAAAAATATTACAACATACCTAAACATACTGGAATTGTGTTTCTAATATACGATGGCCCCTGAACGTTGTGGGAGTAGAGTGAGTCCAAGATAGAAGCCATCCACGGCCTAAAACTTTTTTTTCTCGGCGGTAAGAGAACAGAGGTAAGGCTCGGACTCGAGCTGGAATTGTGCCGAATGGGCACTCGAACGCCCCACAGTTTTGTAAAGGAATTGAACCCAAAGGAATCAAAAGAGAATTAAAATCGAATCGTGTTCGACCCCGACTCGAGCTGAATCCGTTGAGAATGGCGAGCTCGGTTCTGAGATAGAAATTTAGCTTCGAAATGACAGTTGAATTTCGCCTCCGAGTTTTCGGCGTTTTCGGATGGCAAATTTGTTCGGTTGATACATCCAACTTCATTCTTGACATTTGGCTCTGAGTGTCTCATCCCCTCTTAGAAGAAAAACCCTTTTCACTGACAATGATGTTTTATATGTGATGCCAGTCTTGAACTGTTGTTTCTCTCACGTCATGATTCGAGCATGAACTCAGCCGAATCGATGGCCTCTCGTCCTCTTGTTATTGGTCTCATCCATTTCCCAAATCGTGAGAGCCATGGAACGAAAGAGCCTGATTGGACCCTCACGTGATGAATACTTGATTCGACTCTCCCGTCGCGATCCGATTGAGAATGCTGCCCATTCTGGACGGTGAGAAATGAGAATCCATTCGTCGATCAGAACACATGTACGCTCTCGGAGATTCCATATCGGAGTCCTGCGTTCTACGACGACATGATTCGATCGACCCCATATGTCTTACGATTCGAACAGATATCTGATAAAACTCGGTCATCTCTAAATTCATTTTAAAAATTTTTCCCTTTTTCGATGTCCTTGCCATGGTGGGGTTGACAACAGCCAGTCTCCCAACGTTTTTTTTTCCCCATGTCACGAGCTTACCGAGTGCAACTCATACGAATCCACCTTTCCATATCATGGCTGTACCCTATGGCGAGGACTCCTTTTTGTTTTCCCAGAAAGGTCCCGCACCACACCTTGCCGAAGAAACCAGGGAGGGAAAACGATACGTAATTCGTTCCATCCTGTGTTCAACGTGGCTTGAATGAGAGCCACCGGAGTCGAAACCATCAGTGTCACGTGCTGCTCTCATTTGCAAATGAATTCGAGCACCATCTTCATCAAGGGCTCCGTAGACCTCACGACAATGCTTCCATGGGAGATATACCCTCACTTCCTTGCATGCTTCATGGAAATAACATACAATGTTAAGGGTAGTACGAATTCATTTGCATATTGTTCATGTGGGAAACCATCGGCAGTCCACGTTCCTTGCTCTTTCCCTTTGCTGGATTTTTTTTCATCCTTTCTCGCGGATGTTACACACGCTTACAAGATTCAACTGCTTCTTATTGAGTGCAATGTTACTCATGACTAGAATTTTTCTCAACTTTCACTGCATATACATGTATAATGCAGCACTCTGTCGCAAGCAGAACGGCAATACCGCTGACACGGAAAGATATTTGGTATTTAGTTTTGAGTATAGATTTTCAAAGTGAAATGTAGATATAGGAAAGCCGTATTCGACAATAAATATAGAATTTCGACCCCTCCCTACATGGGAGAGTGAAAGTAACACCAAGATGAAACTCTACAGATCTGTCATATGTTGGATTCGGTCGATTTGCATGCTGGAAACGAAGGAGTTAAAAGGACAGTCACGTCTGTAGGTGATGCGAGGTTGCCTGCTTTCTCCTTGCGATTCCACTTTTCTCGACTCGAGACGCACTTGCCATCATGTCAATATTACAAGGAATCTTTTCGGCAGTCATCCGGACGGACAACATGCAGGTGAACCTTTGCAGCAGCCATTAACATGTACGGACAGCTCCTCTTTCCTCATTTTAAGGCCGCGTGAAAGCATTCCGTCCAAGCCCAGCTGGCCCTAATTTATATTGTCTCAAAGAAACACATTTTCATTTTTTTATTTTTGCCATTCCAATGGATCTTTTCATAACCTGGCAGTACCGACCGACAAAAATTAAATGATGAATTCGATTCAGGTTTTTTTTTTCAGATCATGTCTCGGGGGACATTTCTTCCGCCTTCCCCGGCGGGTGTTTCACGAAACAAACCACCCGTATCGAGGAGATGAATCGAATCGAGTAATTATTTCTCACCCGGGAAAGGAGAAAGGAGAGAATTCCTGGAATCGATCCTCCCGTTGCTCGGTGCCGAGTTTTCGACTGCATCTTCGTGCTGTTCCTTCCTATCGAGGCGTTAAGTGCAAAGCCCCACTTATATTCCCGGAATCACTTCGCTTTCCGATATTACAATCGCATAGCATTATAATGAATTTCTCCGAATGAGATGACGAGGATGGCTCTGATGTCTCCTGCAGGCTTCCAGGATCGTTATCCCATTCATCGTCTCGTATGAGATCATTTTCATTCACCCCCGAGATTTCTCCTTAAGACTCGACACCATATGTGGTGCCACGTCGTTCACTTGGTGCCACATTGTTCGCCTCGTGCCACATCATCCCGCCGCAAAGGGGTGGAAGTTCTTTGCATAAGTGATGTGAGAAACCACAGGGACGTTCGAGTTTCTCACGGAATCCGATATTGGAGCGGTCTCACGTCGCTCCAGCATGCTCATGATTTAGGGATAGATCTAACACGTGCTACATAAGGAGAGAACCGAGGCCCCAAGTCAGACGGAGACTCGATCACCTGTAAAAATATCAATAATTCATTCTTGAGCGTTTCTGATCACGATAAACTTTTCCTTTCCAATTCACCGCGATGAAATCTGATGGTCCTCCGTTGCGTTCCGGTTTCCACAGACCTCCAAAATGCTACGTTTGCTTTCCACTCGACGTTTAGAATTTTTTCCAACAACCACGAAACGGATTCAGTGTTTTTAGCCGAATTTCTCGCGTTTTCGCTGGATTCGAAAAACAAGGTGGGCCGAGCTGCTCCTACTCCTCGCCTTCGTGCGAGAATTTCTGTCAAATGAAAGTCCGTCGGACTCGAGCAAAAATGTCGAATTCTACGGAAAAACAAATAAAAGTAGATGAGTTCCCAGGAGCCTCCAACAAGTGTGGAAGACGGTCCATGAATGATTTAAAAGAGATCGAGGAGTCTACACCTCCTTTTTTTTGGACATTGGGAGGATTAGCCTTCATGGAGCAACATACGAGGAACAAATTTAAAGTTCTCAGACATTTTCCTCCATTATTGAAGTTGAGCTAATATCGGTTGGGACGAAAAAGGCGTCCTGTTCGACGCTTTAAGAAACCTGTTGCGAATCATCTACGTTCGTGATTTTTTTTGTATCACATTGAAAACACTATAAAAGTTGTTTCCTGAAAGTTTCATTTGCCTAGATTGACTAAAATACGACAGACATTGAAATTGGAGTCATGAAATGTACCTTTTCCACGGTGGGTGGAATTTCAGGAATGCTCAAATCACTTCTCTACCTCGACGCCATAAAGGCTGTTTTCATGCCATGTCCTCGTCGTCGTATTCTACGTACTATGGATTCTGAAACAATGACGTACGACAGGAGTAGCATTCCATGACCTTGAATGCCACGACGAGGACATTGCTTTACGACGTCAAAGGAAAGGATCCGATCAACGCTGAAGTTCCAACGACCATGCGTCTCAAATTTCATGACTCCACTTTGAATGAGTGTCGTTTTTTATTCAGACAACCTAGACGTGTGAAACTTTCAGGAAACAATTTTTGCCGTATTTCCGATGCGATGCAAAAAAACAATGAACCCAGATGATCCACAGCGGATTTAACGTGAAAAGTCAAACAGGACCTCAAACGCGACACCCGGTATACCTTTCCGACAAAAACCTGAACGATGGGGTATCCCAGGCAGGGAAAGAGAAAATCGCAGGAATCCTGATCCTCATTCGACGCAGAGGGCACATAGGCCTTTGCTGATTGAATTTGTGCCCTAGAAAGGAGGGAAAATGAGATCGGGTCGCAGGGAATGTGTGAGACGGGAGCCAATAAGAGCCAGACTGCCTTGGGGCTGGGGATCTGTCCAGGCGAACACCTCTTGCACTTCCCTTCACCGCTCAGGCTTTTTTTTTTTTTAGAAAAATATTTTTTTCTTTGTGGAGTAGGTGTACTGACAATGGTGGTGATTAGTGTCATTTTTCGGGTGCATATCAAATATCTAACTATATTCATGCCTTTAAAAAAATTCCATCCTATTTTGGTATCCTTAGGGATGACTTGGGTAAAAGTAGAAAGCCGAGTTTTTGCAGGAGAGTGAAAAAGGCCTCTACCATTTTTAAAGGCAATTTGATGAGGAAGATATGAGGATGAGGAAGATCTGAGGAGGAAGATTTGTCACGAAGCAGGATCTTTTAAAATAGGAAAGCCGTTTTCAGGATGGGTGGACCCTCTTTCTGATGACCCATAATCTGGGAGATCTTCGACAGCCGTCACGCTTCGATTCGTCCAACTGGTTCGCGACCTCATCCTGGACAAACGTCGATTAACACTCGAGAGCTATTCGGAGGCTGCCGATAATTCCATCGAGTCTAGCACATCCTGGACATCGAATGCAGAATGGAGAATGGCAGCAGCAGAATCGAGGTCAAAGCAGTGGGCGGGCGGTGATTAATTTTTCGTCGAAAGAGCGTGAAAAAAAGTGGAAAATTGCAAATAGCTAGCCGCTGACGATGGACATCTGCAAGTCAAATGAGAGGGAGACGACTTGAATACCGATGAATTAAGGCACTC